GAAGGTGCTGAAGAAAATCCTCTCTAAGGTGAAATTTCAGAAGAGATGTAAATGAAGGGATATCGGGAGGAAGGGTAGGCCTAACAGAGGGCATCTTGCACGTGGGGGAGCCCTGGTTTGAACATCGTACAAAAGGCAGGACCTTGAAAACTCAGTGCTAACACTGGGTCCACAGGAACTAGCAACTCAGCTTCAGTTGTTTGTAAGACTGTCAGAAAAGGGGTATATGTACAAAATTCAAAATAAATGGTCTAAATAGTAAAAAATGACAGGAAACGATGTAATCTACATTAAAAAAAAATCACTGTGAAAATAACACCAAACAGGTCAGAAAACCACCATTCTTTGATATCACCCCACGCTGAATAGCCCTGAGATGTGTCAGAGCATGAGAACACATTGGTTACAAGATGGGCTTGGGGGTCCTTGCTGACTTTGATTAGAATCCAGGCTCTACCACTTAAAAGCTGTGGGTTTTTAAAAATCCTTTTACACTTTAGTTTTCTCATCTGTAAAGTGGGCACAATGACCCTTGTGCATAGGGTTTTCAGAATACAATGAGATGCATTTGGTGTGCACAACACAGTGTGAGGTACTTATTACAGGAAAAAAGATGTGATATTTACAACATGCTGATATAACTATAAACATATTACATGTGAGACACGTAATAAGATGCAAACAATTATGTTAATAAAGTCATCCTTTTAAAATATGGCGTTAAGATAGCTAGTCATTTCACATGACTTCTATTTGGTTTACAGAAGAGCTCCTTTTATTATTGTAATCTTGATACTTGTTAGATGCTTTGCGGGCTGTAATAGGATCTGAGATCATCTCTGATCCAAATCTGCTAAATCAGGAACGCAACACAATTGTGCTAGTCCACAATTGTGCTAGTTGGAATGGCAGAAAACTAAAGGACAGGGACTTCCCTATTTTCTGAAACCCAGGAAAAGGTTTTCCTGCTTGCAAACCACGTAAAGGCGAGTAAAATTTATTTCACAAAAGTGTTTTCCCAGAAGCAGAGAGGAGATCTTTCCTCTCTCCTCAGCAACTGCCTCAGTTCAAACCACAAAGGTGCTCTGTGAATGAAGAATGGCAACCGTGCTCTTCTGGAGAGGCGGCAAATGACACAAGGAAATGAATGACTCGGGGAAGGGAGTCCAGTCCAAAGGCAGACACTGCCATTCCTGTAACACTCAATCACAGATGCCACCAACAGGATGCGGGCATCACCGCGGGACCATAGGCGTCTGGGTTCACAGCCTGGTGAAGGAAAGGTCCCAGGCGCAACACAGGATTATTCGTCATTCTGACATCTAGAAGGAAAAGGGGTCAGCCAGACCACAAACGGCTGATGTTGCTGCCAACTCCACTCATGTTCAAACTGTTAACATGTTCACCATCAGAGTGCCTCTCTTTATGGGGTGGGTGGAACAGATCACAGTGCTTTATAGATTGGAAAAACGGAGCTGCAACATGCACCTCTGTTAACAGCAGCTGGCAGAATGACCAGCCTAACCTCCCTGGACACAGAAAGCTACAAGTCTCCCATGTGCCAGACAGATGCCATGTGAGTACATCACACTTGGATCCCTATCTCTCACCAAATACAAGAATTAACTCAAGATGAATTAAAGACTTACATGTCAGACCTGAAACCATAAAAATCCTAGAAGAAAAACTCTTCTGGACATTGGCCTAGGCAAAGAATTTATGGCTAAGGTCCCAAAAGCAAAGGCAGCAAAAACAAAAATAAGTGGGACTTAATTAAACTGAAAAGCTTCTGCCAGCAGAAGAAATAATCAATAGAGTAAACAAGCAACCTAGAAAATGGGAGAAGATATTCACAGAAAATACAAATGACACAGGGATAGCATCCAGAATGTACAAAGAACTCAAGCCAACCGGCAAGAGTATCTTACACTCAGGATCCTTACCATCTTCATGGAAATGTATGAGGTTGACGCTGTGATTGCCTTCATTTTACAGATCTTTATCAAGACTTTGTGAGGGTCGCTTATATACTGAGCAGTCTGCCTGAAGATAGAGACTATTTTCAAATAGCTTCTAAATTTTCTCTCCAGTTGGAGGTAATATGGGGATTTAGGCAAAATAAGGAAACCTAAGAACTAGATAGAGAAAAATTACTAGATAGGGAAAAATAATTCTCTGCTATGAAAATAGGAGAAATTGATTAAGCAAAAGGCAGAAACTAGTAAAAGCTAAATATATAGAGGGAGTCAATGAAGACTTGGAAATCAGAAGCAGTAATGAGGGAAAAATAAATTATATGACCCATGAAAGGACATTACCATTTAGTCGCAGTGTCTTTTCTCCCTAGCAAGCTCTGTACTTAACTACAGGAGGGGTCAATCCATGGAAGAATCCTACACGACTCTCTTGTCAAGAGAGTCAGTCACAGCAGGTACCACACAACCACAGAAAATAGTGATGAAGAACCCTGGAAAGTTCAGTCTAGAGGTTCTGAGGTCTCTCTGTCCATACTGTGTTCTCCCATGGACCTAGGCCGCCCTTCCTTCTTCCCTGAAATTTTGCCCACTAGACTGTATGCTTACCTAAGAGGAAACCGACCAATACCCCACAGTAATCACCCCACAGAGAAGAACAGGACTGGCTAAATTGGCATAATTACTTTCAAGCAATGGTGAATTTGACTCAAGGTAACTTTAGACTCTAGAAGAGAAAGAAGAGAATCTTATTCCAGAGAGTTTTCCAGGAATTTCATGATGCAAAACTGATGGACATTGACCATGAGTTAGAAGACACAAGGTCCTCCTACTGCAAAGCAAAAAGATATTTCTAGATTACAACACTTCTATAACGAAGGTAGAATGTCATGGGAGCATCATTTTCCAATGAAGGAAGTCAGAAACCTCAAAGGCAAATCTCATTTCTGCATCTTCTCCTTTTATATTTACTTATATTTATAGTTATGCTTATTCACGAATGACGGAGGTATTGACAGGTGGACTTGTGTGTACATATTTAAAGCCAGTCACCTCGGAGAAATTAGGGAAAGGTGAAGGAACACACACAAGTAGGCAACTTTTAATTAAATCAATCTACCCAATTAGTAAAGAAAATAGCAAAAAGTAGCTGAAAAGTCAAACATGAAAATCATATAATCATGGCTAGATACGGTGGCTCTCGCCTATAATCCTAGCACTTTGAGAGGCTGAGACAGGAGGATCGCTTGGGGCCAGGAGTTTGAGGCCAGTCTGGGCCACATGGCGATACCTTATCTTTATTAAAAAAAATTATATATATATAACTTTTTTTCCAGTTATGTAAAAAATATTTTTAAAACATTAGCCAGATGTGGTAGTGCATGATGTAGGCCCAGCTACTTCAGAGGCTGAGGAAGGAGGACTGCTTGAGCCTAGAAGTTCGAGGCTACAGCAAAATATGATTACACCATTGCACTCCAGCCTGGACAACAAGGCAAGACCTTGTCTCTTAAAAAAAAAAAAAAATCAGTCTCGCTCTGTGGCCCAGGCTGAAGTGCAGTAGCATGACAATGGCTCACCACAGCCTTGATCCTCTGGGCTCAGGAGATCCTTCCACCTCAGCCTCCCTAGTAGCTGGGACTACAGGCACATACCACCATGCCCGGATATGTTTTGAATTTTTCATAGAGATGAGGTCTCGCTAGGTTGCCTAGGCTGGTCTCAAACTCCTAGGCTCAAGTGATCCTCCCACCTCAGCTTCCCACAGTGCTAGTGGCCTTAGCTCCACTTTAGAAGGACAATTCCTAAGACAGTTGACAAAACCATGAACAGGTAAAGAGCAAAATGCAAAGGTGCTCACAGCTTATAATCAGTAGCACAGTGCTGTGTACCCCAAAATTCAGAGCTTTCTTAAGAACCTGGGTCAGGTACTTTGCTAGGCACTTTTTATTAACTTCATCATCCCTGTAATCACCCCGCAAACTACATGCTATTAAATGTCTCCTTTTTATAAATAAAAATGTTGAGACAGAATGATTAAGTCATTTTCTCCAAGTTACCCAGCTAGTAAATAGCTCCACAGTGAAAGAAAGTCAACACACGCTGGGCCTTAAACCTAAACCCTTGATCAGTTGGCTTGTCTGCCTAGAGAACAGAACTCATGAGTGAATAGGGACTCGTGGGTGAACAGGGGATCCCAGAGGACTTTTGCACTTCTCCATCCAGTGAATTTTATGCTGCACATTAGAAAAGCACTTTTTAGTATTTTTAGTTCATATTAACTAAGCATAGTTTCAATGGAATTCTGAGTTTCCTTACATTCTTGTTTTTACACTGAATGTGCTATGCTTAGAAACAAAAGCACTGAAGCTAAGGTTAAAAGCCAGTATGGAGAAAGTGACAGGAGCACTGGACTGAGAAAGTCAGGCTGAGATTCTAGTACCTTCTCTGCCACTAACTCACAATATGAACATGGACCAATCATTTGTCCTCAATAAAACGGAAGCCAGCCAGGTGCGGTGGTTCGTGCCTATAATCCCAACACTTTGGGAGGCGGAGGCTAGAGGATTGCCTGAGCCCATGGGTTCAAGACCAGCCTGGGCAATATGGTGAGACATATAGCCGGGCATGGTGGTGCATGCCTGTAGCTCTAGCTACGTGGCAGGTTGGGGCAGAAGGATCGCTTGAGCCCAGCAGGTCGAGGCTGCGGTGGCCGTGAACATGCCTGGGCAAGGAAGTAAGACTCCAACTCAACAAATAAAATACAATAAAATAAATAAATAAACAAATAAATAAACAAATAAAATAAAACAGAAGCCTAATCATGTGTAAGGTCATATTAAATGCTACAATGTGATCACTCAGACAGGCATTTCCAATGAATTGGTAACCTTTGCAGCTACTTGCATCTGACTTTCTCTTTCCATCTGTTCCTTGTGCATATATATACGATTTATGATTCTCCCTTTGTATTTCAAGGTGAACATTAAATAAGTAGGTTGTGACACGCATGCAAATGCCACGTACAATTTTCTTATCGTAGGACTCTCCGCTGCTGTAGGTTGTGGCCAACGTGGATGAACACTCTTCCAGGTACCAAGGTTTCTTTCCACTTTCGGCTGTGCTGCTGATGGAGATGGTGTAGATGCTGTTGGTGTAGCCATCACAGGAGCAGTGGTCTTTGCTCCTTCCGCCATTTCCAGACGCCCAAACAAACACAGAGCCGAGGCCTCTCCGCCCCTGTTCACAAACAGAGAAAGCTAAATGATGGTGTGAAAAGACAAAGATCACAAGACTCTAGATAAAGAACAGAACCAACAGGCAAAACAGTATTTTGTAGGCATAGTGAGATGCTGTTTTTATATGCTGGGCTTAAGTTGCTTTGTATGGGGGTGAGAGGAGATGCCTTTATAAACTAAACAGTTACAGAAGTAACCAGAACACACATGATGACAATAATGGCTAATATCGATGAACTGGGCACCATTCTAAGGGTCTTACATGAATCGAAATGAATTCTTTCAACAATCCTGTGAAATTGGTATGATCTGTGCCTCCATTAAGCAGATGAGGAATTAAAACAGAGAAGTTAAGTAATTCAAATAAAAAAAATTTTTTAAGAAGTAATGTTCTTAAGGTCATAAGTACTAAGGGAGTAGGGACCAACATCTGACCCCACACAGCCAGATCCCAGAATTGGAACGTTATTATTATTATTATTTTATTTTTTTGAGTTGGAGTCTCACTCGGTCACCCAGACTGGAGTGCAGTGGCCGCTTCCGGCTACCGCAGCCTCGACCTGCTGGGCTCCGGTGAGCCTTTTGCCTCAGCGTTCCGAGTAGCTGGAATTACAGGTGCGCGCTACCACGTCCGGCTGATTTTTTGATTTACTGTAGAGATAAGGTCTCGCCTGCCCAGGCGGGTCTCGAACCCGTGGGCTCAGGCAATCCGCTCACCACAGCCTCCCAAAGGCGCAGGAACGTTATTATTTATAGTCACCACAGTTACATAATATTGTTTTAAACCTTCAAATCTGCTGTAAGTAGGTGACATTATGCACCCTCATTTTACATCCAAGGAAGATGAAGTGTAAAGGGCTTTGCATCTATGCCGAATCACATCGTCAGCGACCAGTGTATACTTCCTTTCTGGAAACTACCTCCTCTATATATGGTGAGGACACTAATTACTGAGGGATGATAATGGATGCTGTCATAAATAAAGGATGTCAAGGTCACATATGTTTGGGAATCCTCAAGTTAAACAAAATTAAGTAAGTTTCTTTATTGCAAAACCTCTGAGAGCCTTAAATAAGTGAATGCTCATTACAAAATTCTAAAAGCGTGATACCATTTAAAATAATTTCCAAACACATTTGATCAAGGTACGTTCTCCAGTCAGATCCATTACTTGTTTCTTACAATGCCAGGAGATGCAGTCACATTCTGTATGCCAAAACTTGGTAGGTAAAAATAAGGTTAACGGAAAGACTTCCTGAAGGTCTTCGATAATTAAGAAATAGAAGCAAAGGAGATCACAGACATAGGCAGTGATTAACTATAAGATGGGTCTTCAGGAGAAAACAGAGAAATTAGACTAAGTGAAGAGTGTTTCTGTGAATAGCTACAGCTGAACCTCTAAGACATTTTATCCTTTTAAAGCTAAAAGGCACACTGGAGGACATGCAGATCAAACCCATCATTTTGTAATTAGGAATAGAAAACCCAAGTCAGATAGCTGGTGATGGTTGAACCTCTTTGTTCCTTCCAGGCCCTAACTTTCTGGTCACAGGTGGAGGGAAAAGTATTTGAGATGTGGCCTTAGAATTTCTGGAAAAAGAGCCAAAGAAAAAGAAACGACAAAGAATCTGGAGTATCCACGATAAACTCTCCCTGACCTTGAATCTTCAAGGAACAGAATATTTATGACATGATTTGACTGACCTACACATGGATTTCTTTTTGTCTTTCAACTTGGAAAGATGCAGTATGATTACACAATAATGGAAAAATTCATGGAGAGAGAGGGAGGTGAACTTCCGGTTGATATTGCTGTTAGACAGCTGGGTTTGGTTTACCATCCCTCAGTTTCCATCAAAATACTCATGAAACATGGAGAAAGATGCAAAAATCACCAAGGCATCACAAACTAAGAATCTTGTTCAATTCTTTGTCAGTCTTTCAGAGGAATTATGCCTCACTACAGTGTGGGTGGTCAAACTAGGAAATTCTGGGGATTGAGTCGTATCTACACCTCAGAGACAGAACAACATGGCCAGAGAAGAAGGAAGAATGTTCTAATTCATTGCCAGCATGTTCCCCCTCTATCAGATGCTGAGGGGCTGTGTTTCAGGCAAAATTCAAGGTCACACTGCGCCTTACTTGTCAGGTCAACAGAACACACAAGATTGCATAAAACTCACCTGGTTTAAACTACACCATAACAGATGATAGATTAAGAAACACAAAGAAATGGAAAAGTACCTATGGTACAATCACACGCATATATCTATGTATAATTATGACTGTGTGCCTATGTATAAATATCAATTAAAAGATCTTTTAAAAATAATTTGATTTTAAAGAATACTTAAGAAAATATCGGAAGATATTTTTGTGTTCATGAGGTAGTTACAAATGTAGACTACAAAATTATACAGTACGGTCTCAGTTTAGGAAAAAAGTGTATATGCACACATATGTGTGTGTGTGTGTGCACGTGCATACACCGAAGTCTATGTGTATAGAATTAGATGCATAAAGTATCCATAAAGTAACATTGTAACAGAAGTCATCCTATTTAGTAAGATTAGGAAAGACTTTCATTTTCTTATTTAGATCATCCTTCCATAACTATTACTTGTATAAGTGGAAACAAACACAATAATTACTCTATTAAGGAAAAACAGGGTTAATTCTTAAGAGTTAATTTTTATGTTATGCCAATGGCATTTACCTATAGAAGGAGTGCTGTGTACTAAAAACAAGACTAGTAATATTTCTAGAAACTCATTATGTGTCAATCACTGTACAAATATTCTGTACAATTGAAGTCTATCACTTACAGATGAGCAAACTGGGTTTCAGAAATACCCATTAATGCTAGAGTCAGACCCTGAAAGCGGACTGGAGCCAAAGCCTGAGCTATTCACCCTTCAATAGTCTTCTTTTGGGCAAAAAGAGGCCTACTGGTTATTCTACTACTTTTAGCCACCTCTTCTATGTCTTTACTGAAGTCTGGCATTAAGATCTAGGAGCAGTCCAGCTCTCAAGTAGAATTAGAGCTGATAAAGAAAGGATGATTGCCGTGTCCCGGGTGTCCTCAAGGGAAGGACGCAGGTTCTGACTCAAAACTACCCTGAACATCCCAGCTGGAGAGGATGACTCTTAGAAGTATGAGCACAGGTCATTCTATTCTGGTAGCATCTACAGACAACACCACCAAGAAAAAACAATGACATTGCCAAGGAGTCTTTTGGGAAATCTACTCGGCTCAGAGGACAGTGGGTTGCTGCTTCCCTGAAAATGTCCCTTCCAGACAGAGGTAAAGTCTTTGTATTACACAGATAATTTGAGGGAATTATTTTACAACTGGGTAGAATGAAGGAAAACCCCAACGGGCAGCACAGAGTCAATAAAGCTGGAGACAGAGTAGCTAATAGGAGTTGGTCAGAAGTAACCCATATTGGCCCTATAGGGAGGGGGGCAGGTAAATACTTACTGAGCCCCAAATCTCCTCCTCCCACACTTCAATTTCTTGCTGGTGTCCACTGGCCAAAAGTCAGTGGATCTGGGGGTCCACTGATAGAGGACAGAGAGATCAGTGTCCTGGTGCACAGAGTTCATGGAGAGAAGGGAAGAGGATATCTTAAGAGTTAAGTAGGAGGAATCTAGCACAGTCCTTAAAATGTGCCAGGGCCTCAATTGTGTTCCCCCAAATTCATAGGCTGAAACCCTAAAGCCCAATATGATTATATTTGGAGGCAGGGGTATTGGTGAGGCAATTAAGGTTAAGTGGGGTCATAGGTGTGGGGCCCTAATCTGGTAGAACTGGTGTCTTTATAAAAGAGGAAGAGGCCAGGTGAGGCCTGTAATCCCAGCACTTTGGAAGGTCGAGGTGAGAGGATCGCTAGAGCCCAGGAGTTCAAGACCAGCCTAGGAAACATAAGAAGACCTTGCCTCTACAAAGAATTTAAAAATTAGCTGACTGTTGGTGGTTTGTGCCTGCAGTTCTCAGCTACGCAGGAGGTTGAGGTGGGAGGATCGCTTGAGCCCAGGAGGCCAAGGCTGCACTCCAGTCTCAGTGACAGAGTGAGACTCCAGTGAAAATAAATAAACAAACAAATAAGTAAGAAGATACACAAGACAGCACACACTTTCTCTTGGAGTGTGGCACAGAGGAAAGCCCATGTGAGGACACAGTGAGAAAGTGGCTGCCTGCAAGCCAATGAGAGAGACCTCAACAGAACCCAGCTCTGTTGGCACCTAGATTTTGGATTTCCAGTCTTCTAGCCTTCAGAACTGTGAGGAAAAAAATTCCTGTGGTTTAAGCCACCAGTCTGTAGTGTTTTGTTATGGTAGCACGAGCTAACACAAGGGGACCGGAGGAGACAAGCCATGGTCTGCCGCCTGTTGGATTCTGTGTAGTCCGCCACAGAAGACAGGGGCTTCCATCATTCTATCCACGAGGAAATCTGACCTTGATGCCTGTGTGTATGGTTTATTATGAAAGCCCCAGAAATAAGGAGACTGAATTTCTGGGTTGAAAATGCCATAAAGACAGCTGCTAAAGCTCTATGGGGTTAATCTGAAACAATTAGCAATTCAAAGATATAGTTACTACAGATGCACAGGGGGTTTTCATTAGTGTGAAACATCCAGAAACCAAAACATATGTTGTTTAAAAAAAAAATCTGGACACGTCTCCAAAATACAGAGTAATTTAAGAATTAAACCTTAATGTGGGGCACAGGGAGAAAAGAGAGTGGGCAGAGGAGTACAAAGATAAAAGAATCTCAAGGCACTTAGTTTCCTGAAGTGCAGGAAATAATGACATTTTCTAGTTTGGTGAAGTATCGTGATTGCAACTGGAGACTTAAATATGGCTTTGTATGGCAAAAAAGGGAAAAAAAAAATCTTTCAACTTAATTGAATGCTAAGTTAAAAGTTAGAAACTTAAGGCAAAACATATTGTGAAATCCATGCAGGATCCATTTGACCCAACTCTAAACATTCTCTTTG